CATTTGAACAAATGAGGCACCCGTAAACAATGTGATTTTCTATTTCAGATTTATAACTATTTTATGATATGGTTTTTAGTTTCAGCTATGAATTTCAATTTTCAGTGTCAGAATTGAAAAGGTTACATAAGTAAGTTGCCTCATCTAAAATGCTGGAGCTTGCCAGCAGTATGGAATTTATTTGCCTAACACAGCATGTATAATCTTGGATAATGATAACATTAAGTAATGCATGGGAAATATGGAATGAAAGATACAAAAAGGTCTCTTCCCCCAATAAAATGTGTCAAAAACAGATGTTGTCTATCAATGTCAAAACTTTTATTTCTTAAATTTAAGTCACAAATGGTCTTTGGTATAGCACTACAAAAGTGATTAAAAATGGCCATTTAACACAGCAATTTCCAGAAGCAAATGTGCTCTTTGCCCTGGCTTGCTCATTTTCCATAACTTGTTGATACCATTACCTTCACCTGGATTTGAATAAAGAAGGTTACAAAATCAAATTTCTCTGAATTAGGAAGACATCTCTGTATGGGACAGTGCTCTCATGTACAGTATATGTTATGTAATCTTAAATCCTGCAGTAATGGAAGCAAGGTTTCACACATGCATCATACTAGATATGACATAATTATTGGGTTACAGATAAGAGTTTAGTTTAGCTATTCTAAAATTACAATTGTCAAGTAAAATCATCCGAGATCTTTTTGATCTACTCCACACGTAGCAACTGAAGTGAGTCCCCTCCCATGTGTAAAACAATCTGACCTGGATAAATCTGTTTTTAAAACTCTGCTAAGATTTGTCTCAGGTACATATCTTCCTGTTTTCTGGGTTTTTAATATTATTAATTTAAATGGAGTCATGTGAGTCTCATGTGAGTTGTGGCTTGAATATTGTAGTTGAATTAGGCCACATATATTTTAATAAAGGACAGGTGTTAAAAGCATCTTTATAACACATCATTTAAAACAACTTGAATAATGTATTTTTAATTATTTATTTTAAATACTGTAATGCTGCATGTGGTGGGTCACACTAGTGACACTTGTTATCCAAACCTGAAGAAGCCTCCACGGCCGAAACATTGTGTTTTCTTTCTTCTCTTGTCAGCGTGGAATAAACCTATTACTTGTTCTTTTGCAGCCTACGCATGTTAACACAGCTACCCACCTGAATTACAACAACAATAATTAATTACCAACATTTAGACTCTTTAGCTTTTGTGGTCAATTAAAGTACGAGTCTCAGTCACAAGCTAAACATGAATGGCAGACGGGTCCAATAATCTAAGGAAACTTAAAGTATAGCTGATGCAATAATTAAAAAATAAAAATCATTAAGACTTTATCAACACTGAAAATATCAAAAAAACAATTCAATATTTTCAAAACCAAAACCAAAATGATACATTCTGTTCAAACCAGTTTAGTGAATTGACCAACAAAATAATTTAAGGTGTACTGACATCCTTAAAGGATATACTGAAAACACAAAAGGTCATTTCCTATAGTCTTACAGGTCTTGTGGTGCACATGACAGCCCAAGACAGAATCAAGTCAATAAATCGGACAGTTGTAAATTAGGTGATGAAAAGAAAAAAAACTTTATTCTATTTTAACAATTCAGAGATACAGTATTAATATAATTACACAGCTCAGGTACCAAACCAGAGAACTCCTGTTCTGAGTATTTGGGAGAAAGGTGCCTGCTACAGTATTTCAAATAATTTCAATTCTTAAGAGAAGGTTAAGAGAAACACTGTTACTGATGAACCTGTTTTTGTTATACTTCTAAACTACATAGAATACAAACCGGTTACGAATATAGGGTGCTTCTAAATTAGTTTGCCTGTTTGAATAGCTGGATGGTGAAAACCACACTAGACATTGAGTAACGAAACTTGGGGAACATAAAATTTGGAGAATGCAGTAGAAAAGAGTGGGTTTGGTGGGGAACACACTCCACGCCTTCTGTTGAACACCTGTGACATGGTCTCTGATACATACTGTCACTGCCCATGGGAAAATTTCCCATTTTCCTGTTTGTGTACCACAGATCACTGCTCCGTGGTGCAGTTTTTACATCATATGGTTGAATATACCAATTAAATTTATAAACACTCTGTGTAAAGGCTAAATGGCCTTTCTTAGACAATCTAACCAGCAACATGAAAGCGTTCACATGTTAGAACACTGAATATTTCACCTGGAACCAGTGATCATTGCAATTATAACAGACACAAAAATAAATTACGTACCAGTAGAGAAGAACCAAAAAGACAACCAACAAGCTTACAGAGACAGACATCACATTGACTTTCACTGGAACCAGCTTCAGGATATCCACAGCAGCATCCATTCTCTTCAGCAGTCAATGCCAATCAGTGCAAAAGGACTACAGTACTCTATTTCCGGTGCCGGTGGAGAATTCTCTTGAGAATTGACCCTACAAGCAAAGAAAAAATATTATTTTCAAAATGTACTTGTGCATTTGTGTGCTTAAAGATGTTGGAAACACCATATACTATACACTTTCCATTTATTTCACAAGTCTATGATTGCTGTATTACTTAACAGTAAGATCCGTTATCTTGATACCTATCAAGGATGGCTTTAAAACTTAATACAGAACACAAATAAATAAAAAATGAATGTTTTTTTTCAGTATGGCCCACCTGAAGATATACTGGAATGTTTTACCAAAGATTTGGGGTGTCACTGCTAAAGAGTAATTATTGCAAGCTGCATCGGGAAATCATTTCATATTAAAAGAAACAACAAGATATACCTACTCAAAAGACATTTATTATAATTTCATTGTCTTATTATTCTTTTCTAAAATAGTTAAATGGCACTAAATGTACTTGTTTCTGGCTTTATTCAAGGTGAAAATAGACATACTGTACTATCTAAATACTGTATATCTGAAAATATTTTTATACTGTGATACACCCAAGGAAAGAGTACTGTAGCAGGGATCTTTAAATAGGAAAACAGAAGGACAAATGTTGTGGTAAAGTGAAAATAACATGAAGGAAAGACAAAATATCTAAGCTCCTTTTTGAGCTCTATCTTGTGGCACTCTTTATAAATAACTGGGCAGTGAGGTGCTTACTGGTGTAGTGTACTCTCACGAGGCACCAGTTCTGTAGGGGTTTGGGCATTTACTGGGACAATTATTAATTGTGGCAGTAAATCACAAAATTGATTCTTTTAATGGCCTTAGAATCCAACCATGTGATATAACTCAAACAACGCGCACACACAGGTACTTATACACGAGGATACATTTATTAATACATAGAATATGCATGTAAACCTAATAGATCTTATCGTGAGGGTTATCATAATACAAGAGGTATAAATTCAGTCAGTCACAAAGAGTTACACATATCAAGAGGACATACGTTTGGTATATCATTCATTTAAACCGTTTCGTAATTGAACTTGGTTACAACTTCTACACTAGATATTCAAAACAAGTACATAACTCTTAGGAATTAAATTGATATCATCTGGTTGGGATAACAATTGAATTCTCGATCTGTAATCTTTGGGGATTCTGTAAATGTACAGTATCTTTTTGAGATATGACACCTACAAAAAGTAATTCTATTACGCTCTGGACTCTTGGACTCCTGTCTCTTCCACCTTGGACCTTCCCTACCATCTCCTTTACTTTTCCATTTCTTTCTTTATGAGGGCAGTAAGGTGCATAGTGACCATACACTGTATTATACAAGCACAACATGGGAAGCCTTTAGTGTAAGCAGCATTCCATAGTTCTCCCAGGCTATCATTTTTGAGAACACAGATTTTACTATACAATGTTTAACAGAATAACAGGATCCTAAGTACTCTATCTGAAATGTGTCTTCTGTTTTCATCTACATCTAGCCTTGTGAAGCACTTTACACTGTTCTCATTCAACCAAGAAATGTCCCCACTGTAAAGGAAAATTTCATTTATTAACATAAAAACCATGTGTTTTTCAGAACCTAAAACACAAAATAACAAAAAAGCTTAAATCTGATTAACTACACAAGCAGGTACAATATAAAGCAAAAGACTGTAAGGTGTTTCACAGCATACAATTCTTTTAAATAAAACAATTTGATGGATTATTTTACTAGCTTTACCTTTAAACTGACCAAATTTTATGGAAACAGTTTGAAAGAAAATTAAAATTAAATACTTATATCTGCATTGTTAAGAAAGGAACACAGAAATAATAAAACAGGGTAAAGTGCTCATAAAACAGTACCTCTAGAAACAACGCTGACAGATAAAAGAGCAGAAGTTATCAGAAAGGATCAGTAAGACTGTACACCTGGGATTAAACTTTGCACCTGAATCGTAGAAAATACCACCTTTATTTAATCTTCTTACTACTTCTGAAAATATCTTCTTTGGCAAATTAGCTTTCTACAGCACTAAATTAAACATTGAGCATATAGAAACCAAAGCAAATGTACAGACTCACCACTTTGCAAACAAAAATAATCCTTAAACCTTGACCCCCTGTTTTTGACAAATTAATGTGACTGGTTAGTACTACACAAAGAAAAGGGAGTTCCTGTACTTTCCGGGACACAAGTGAGAATGCCTCCTTTCTGCATATTTCTAGAATTAAAAACTAGGCCTTTTAGTTTCCTTCACATTTTCCATGGGATTAGGCACTGATGGTTATCTATTGGAGTTAAACATTTTCTTATTGTTACAGTGTGTGTAAAAATAAAAGTAGGGCATTTTTTCCAAACAAATGATTGAGTAAATTGTGTATTTTTCGGTAACATTCTATTCCTAGCTAGGCTAAGCCACATATTTGTTGAACTACAGCACTGTATTTTCCAAACACTTTTAAATTATGTTTTAGAACTGTTTGTTAATTATCCTTTTAATCTGAAAGTCCAAGTCTATATAAATTCATTTCTGAGTATATATACCACTAAACGCATGACTTTTATAAAATGTATGGATGAAGAATTATGCCCTTTAAAAAAACAAAGTCTCTTGTTGTCCCCAGAGTATTGCTTCACTATCCTAGGTACTGTGAGGTGCATGCTTTAGATCCAAAAATGCACTTTTATGCCAATTTATACATATTACAGAAAACAAACTGTTATTCCTCTACCTTAGTGTAACAACAGTCCAGAAATGTTACTATTGATATTCTTTATTTATTGGCTATACATGGAAGACAGAGATCCAGAAAATACAGACCCACAAAAACAACTCAGCCAATTAAATATTAACCCCTGTAATACAAGTTTCATGATTGTTGAAAACAAGATTTTGTACAAAGAAAACTCTTTAAATCTGTGCATCTGTTAATCTATGATGTATTTGTGTCAACAAATATTTAATTACATATTGTTCTTTGCAGAGAACTGGGCTTGACTTTTGAGGACAAGAGACTTTCTAGGAGATTCATCTAGCATGACATCGACACAACTCCAGTATTACTAACAACCATTTCACAAGACTTAAATAAATCTTTTAAAACGGGATAAAAAAGGGTTTATTTCAGGGATTAGTTAACAAATATTGACATACAGTAGATATTGCCCCGTCTAGTCCATACAACATGTCTGCTTGCCAATGTAAACTAGCTGTGAACTTTTAAATGTAAGAAGGGTTTTTACTCCCCTAGGAAACATTATGATGGAAGATAACCAGGCAAGATATTATAAAAATACTACATAATGCCCAAGGAAAAACTAGTTCTACATAATGCATATGTTTAGAGCAGTGCGAGTGAGATTCCAAGCATCTGTATGAACAACAGTAAAGTGACATGCTAAAGGAAACAGTGGTGAATGACTGATGGAAAGCTGGAAGAGTAACAGGGAAAAGTTAACTTCTGTGCATATTTAGCTGGTATCCAGAATTTATGCTGTTGTAGAGAATTAAAAATATAACTGTAAGAATGAGTCTGGGGTAGTGATGCAGCGCAGCTTAAAAACTTGTCTGACCCCAGTGATTTTTTTGTCTATTGTGTAAACACATGGCCACAGCCATTACAATTAAATGAGGCCAGAGAGTGCAGCATTGCCTGGTGTCATGGTGAAGCAGGGAAAAGTTAGAAATCACTTTTTAAGCAAACAGAAAAGACAGATAATAGAACCCATGTAACAAAGCTAGAATTAAATCATTTTTTTAATCTATTAGATAAGTAATCCTGTAAAATTTAATAATTAATTAGCAATTCCAACATATGGATAAATATGGCTAATAGTAAAAAGCTTAGTCCTTTAGGAAATGAAACTTATGAAAACGTATGCACGTTTTATGTATACATGTCATATGCTCATTCAAACAATTTTATCATTATCATCAATATCATATTATGCATTACATACAGTAGGTATGAATTAAAACCTGCAGTTGGAAGGTGGTGGACAGAGGAGGTGAGGCAGGGGCTCAGGAAGAAGTGGTCATGCCTTGAACAGGTTCAGAAAGAGGGAGTAGCAAACTAAGAAGAAAGAGTGACCTTGTCCTGAACAAGTGCTGATTGAGAGGGGGAAGTTACCATATCAGAAGTCAAAACTATCAAAGAGACCCTTGTGTTGAGAGAACAGGATAAAATATAAGGAGCAAACAGAAAGCAGTTGCCCTCGAAAGAACACAAGAGTGACAGAGACTGAAAATAGACAAGGGTGAAAAAGGCAGATTTTTTTTCAGTGAATCCACAAATTCTACTCAGCAAAAGAAAGGTGGGTAAGCAAGCATCCAGTCTGCAGGGCAGGAGCTTGAAGGTAGACAAATCCTGGACGAAGTCCACTTCAGGACAAACCAGAGCAGTTCCCTGCAACAAGCTGTAAATGACAGCCATAATCCTGGAAGAGATCAAGAAAGAGACAACCCTACACAGAAAATTATTCTGGAGGCAACATGACCTAGTAGACCAAGAGAAGATGGGTCAGGATGTATGAGGGCTTTCCAGGACTAAATGCAACCACAGACAACTTAAAACACCATATGTGATTTTGGGGAATAATGTGTCACTATCTGTCTGGGAATGGGGGGGACAGATGTGAGAGTGGCGATAATTTTCTCAAACTATTTGCTATACACTTTACACAAGTGCCTTTGCGGCTTCCTCTAACCCAAACTCTTTGGGTTATCTCACAATGCTTATTTCAATGTGCAATTAGCTAAAACTCTCTTTAGCTTCTTCACTAGTTCAATAACTGAGTACAGTAGATCTGTAAGAAGTACCTGCTGTTTCAAGCTTAATGGTATCAGTCTCCATATAAAAGCTGTCAGCACAAGCTCCTCTATCGCCACTCCTGATGGGGAAGGATGATGCCAGACAACCAGGAAGTTGATGTCCATGTAACGAACAGTTCTTTCCGGACCCTATGCGGACGACACAATCCGACGAAGTGGGGAAACACTAGGGAAACGTCATGCAGGAATACGGGGCTGAAGACAGGGGGGCGTGTCCAAGGTGCGCTGGTGCATGGGGGAGGTGTGGCCGAGGCGAACAATCCAAAAGAGAAGTCCTTAGAGAGAATCCAAAATACAAGGGTAAGTCCAAAACCAGGAGATCCATCAGAACGCGGAATTAAAACACGAAGACCGGGTCGGAACCGGCGGACAGGGAACAGGAACAGGAACCGAGATTAAAACCTTAACAGGACCAGGCGCTTCCAGGTCCCGGACTCACACGATACGGAAATCAGATGCAGAGCCCGGATGAGCGTCAGCGCCTGGCTTTTAAAGTGGGCTGGGAATAGGAAACAGGTGCACAGAATAAAGTCTCACGTGAAAGGGCTGGAGCACCCTTAAGGAGGGGGGACTATAATCGTGACAGTCCATGGTGAAACACTTCTCTCTAGAACTTAGCCACTATGTACATTTCAATTGGTGAAGCACCATGCCACAGCTATGCACAGCTGTTCGTAAGAGCTGCTCAGTTTTCCACCTCCAGGAGGACCTGAACTGCAGTGCTCGCTAATAATTGCCCTAAGTCAGTGGTTCTCAAACTTTTTGGACCAAGTGACACCCCTAATCCAACCAAAGCATCCAAGTACCACCTACACGTCATCATCTCATAGGAACCCCAGAAATTCTCAATCACCAACATGAGCATGCTTGCACACACACTCACACATACATATAATAAATATTATAATAATCAACTTTATTTGATAAAGCACCTTTAAAGGTGGCTTCTCAAACAGTTTTACCGAAAAAAAACAGTAACAAAAACAAATAAAAATAATAGAAAAGCACCATTTCAGTGAGAGGGGTGAGCCTATTTAGTTGAGCAAAGCAGATGTGAATAAATTTTTCGAGCCTTGATACAATTCACATTTAATTTCTGGAGCAACCTCTCTAATTCGTGCAACTACACCGCTGTGTTGGCTTGTCTTTGCTCTAGCCCCATCTGTACAAACTCCGACACATTTTATCCAGTCGATGCCATTCTCTTCGATAAATTCATTCAGAAGCTTAAATATGTGCTCTCCTGTAGTTCCTGTTGGTAGCGGCTTACAGAACAGAAAGTCCTCATGGGACGTACAGTACCCTCAAACTCGTATCTAACGTAAACGAGCAAATTGGCCAAATCGCCAACAGACTCATCTAATTGCAGTGAAAAACATCTGCTCATCTTAACGTGCTCTATCAACATACTTTTAATATCATCCACCATTTCAATAATTCAATAAGTGACGGTGTCATTCGGGGGGGCAGCAGGTCGAGCTGTTTAGCAGCTTTTTCTCCACACATAATAGTGTGGGGTTTACCTGCTTTAACAATCCGCAAGCTTGCATTTTTCTGCGTTTCTCTTTTAATTTCCGTATTTATTTCATGCGCATGGGAGCGAAACACAGAGACGCTCTGTGTATTTTTCTCAAATTAACTTAGAAGAGCTCTTAATTATTTTTCTGTTATCGATTACGCTTTCTTGTGTTCACAAGATTACCAGTGTTCATAGCTCGTATTTCTATGCATTCCTGTTTTTACAACATTGGCATTGTTCCAAAATCACACACATTCTCCTACCTCCCTATTTGCTGGAGATAGCTTTTGTTTTAAATACAATTGGTCACTTACGTCCGTAGCACGCATTCCTATAGAGCAGTATTGACTTACATAGTAGCCCTGTGTCCACTGAAGTATTAGCGCGCACTGTACCATAGTAGGTAGGCTGCATATTCGACACGTATTAAAATAGAAAATATAAAAACCTGTCCTGATTTTTCAGCGCACACAACAAAGTTCCAGGGTCTTATGGCGTACCAGCTGGTGGCGCTCCGCGTACCACTGCTGGTACGTGTACCACAGTTTGAGAACCACTGCCCTAGGTGTTCTGCCTCACCTCTTCCAACCAGGCTCCCTCCTCACTGCCTTTTCAAGTTGAATTCAGAAATGCCTCTCATGCCACTGAACTGCCATACCCAGGCAGCAGCATGTCTCCAAGCAAAGGAGTGAAGAACCAGGAACTCTACTCCATGGGGCCCA